CCTGCCTACTTCAAACTTAGTTCATGGGGAAATACGCAGTACAGAAAAGGATCTAGACCCAAGTCTATCTGTTAACTCTAGTGCTTTTAAAATAATATAAAGTATAATAATATAAAATAATATGAATATAAGATAATATACAAGGAGCCATATAGTTCTTAATCTAGCAGAGATGGAGAACTTTTTTTTGTGCCACTTACAGGCCTTATCAACTTAAAAATTAGCCCATGGGCCTGCGCTGTGGCTCAGTGGGTTAAAGCTGTGGCCTGCAGCATCCCGGCTGCTCTACTTCCAGTCTAGCTCCTGCTAATGTGTCTGGGAAAGCCATGGAAGATGGCCCAAATCCTTGGGCCCTTGCACCCACGTGGAGACCCAGATGAAGGTCCTGGTTCCTGACTTCGGCCTGGCTCAGTCCTGGCTGTTGTGGCCATTTGGGGAGTGAACCAGCAAATGGAAGATCCCTTTCCTCCTTGTCCTTCCCTCTCTCTGTAACTCTGCCTTTCAAATAACTAAATAAATCTTATAAAAAAATTAGTCTGCTACAGATTTATTGAATTTCAAGATCTACATGTGTTCGTCTTTTCAGGGCCAGACTAAATGACCTTCTGGATCTTAGCTCCCAAGTGAAACATTCCTCACCCCAGTAGGGTCTTTATTTTTTAATTGGTGTTTCTGTTCCCAAGAAAGGTTTTGGTGCTTTTTTGCAGTTAAAGATCTATCTCAGCCTTTGCTTTAGGGCTGTTTGTGGTGAGAGCTGGAGAGGCAGGTGATGACCTCGAAGATGTTCAAGGAACAAAATAAAATAATGGAAAGTAGCAAGTGTTGATAAGGACATGGAGAAGCTGGAACCCTTAGACATCTCTGCTGGGAAGGTGAAAGAGTCATTCAGCCACTGAACACTCTGGTGGTTCTTTGGAAAGTTACGCATTTGATCGTGCGACTGTATGACCCAGCGATTCCACTCCTAGGTCTTTAACTGAGACAGTTCAGATAAACACATGCACAGGAATTGTCGCTCCCCCTCTTCGTGGAGGAACGACACAAGACCCTGCGCTGTTCTTTCGTCTGCTCGGCCCTCCCCGGGTTTGCTGCTGGTTCTTCCCGGGTTGGCTACTATCCCTTCCACCTCCGTGGAAGGGCAGTTCCCCCTGGCCACATTCCCCACTTCCGCAGGGGAGCGGCACACCGCCGGCCGGCTCTTCTCGGGGGCTGCACAGGTGTTCCTTCAGCTAGATGTTCCCCATAGATGTTCCTGGTGCATGCCGTCTCTCTCCTCCTTTATAGTCCTCCTCCGCCAATCCCAACTCGGCTGCCCACACGCCGAGTACGCTGCTCTCCAATCAGGAGCAAGTCCTACAGTTTATTGGTTGAACTGGAGGCAGCTGTGCGGAAGCTGTTTTCTCCTCTCCCAGCGCCATATTGTAGGAGAGCAGATGCATAGAATAAGTCTTAATTCCAGTAACTTAGTCTAGTCCGAGCTGCTCCCCACAGAGGAGAGCAGATGCATAGAATAAGTCCTAATTCGAGTAACTTAGTCTAGTCCGGATTGCTCCCCACAGATCCCCCTTTCTTTTTATTTTTTAGCGTTGATACGCGCCTGTCTTCGGTGTCCCGCGGCACACACTCTGCTCTACTTGCTAGAGTTGCCACAGGCTCTTACAAGTCCTATCAATCAGGAAAACCGAATCCGGGTCCTCTCTTCGCCATTGTGAGGAGGTTTTTAGGCGCTGATGCGTGCCTGTGTTCGGTGCCCTGCAGCGCATGCTCTGCTCTGCCCGCAGGGGCTTACAAAACCTATCAGGCAAACCGAATCCAAGCCTTCTCATTGCCATATTGTGGGGGAGACTTATTAGTGTTGGTTCGTGCCTATCTTCGGTGACCTGCAGCTCATACTCTGGTCGAGCTGCCTGCTGGTGCTTATCGCCTAATCAGGCAGACCGAATCCAAGCCTCCTAATTGTATTGTGGGGAGGCCTTACTGATGTTAATTCGTGCCTGTCTTCGGTGACCTGCGGCGCATAAGCTGCTAGCCGCCGCAGGTGCTCATCGTGCTCATCGCCTCACTTAATCAGGCAGACCGAATCCAAGCTCTCACAGTGCAGTGTTGTAGGGAGGCCTTTCTATTTCTCTATTTCTCTATCTCCGGGCATTCCTATTTCTCCCATTTTACTTCTATCTTCCAGCATTCCTATTTCTCTTTTACTTCTAAACTTCTGTTTCTCTTATCCCTGCGGCTTTCCGGCGGCGCTCGCCCCGAGGCTGCTTCTCGGCACCTCGCCCCGCGGCAGCTTCACGGCTCTGCGCGGCTTCCCGGCGCCTCGCCCCGCCGGCGCCCGCCCCGCGGCGGCTTCTCGGCTCTGCGCGGCTTCCCGGCGCCTCGCCCCGCCGGCGGGCTCCGCCCCGAGGCTGCTTCTCGGCGGCTCGCCCCGCGGCAGCTTCACGGCTCTGCGCGGCTTCCCGGCGCCTCGCCCCGCCGGCGGGTTCCTGGCTCTGCGCGCACGCTCCGCGGTCTCCACGCACTTCGCGTCCGCACCACGGCCTCGCGCGCCAGCCCCGCGTTCTCTATCTATTCACGCCCCGTGCTCTCTCTGCACGCGGCGGCTTCCGCGAATGTTTCCGCCACCACCGGCATTCAGTCCAAGTTCCCCAGACTAACCTGGCGAATCCTGGCGGCCCACGTCTCTGCCTCTGGTTCCAGATCTTCGCCTCTTGCTCCCCAGGGTGACTTGAAGAATTCCAAGGTGGCTTATATCTCCGCCTCGGCCTGCACTCGCGGCTTCATCCTCCCTAACATTTCTCTCTACCCGGTATGTTTCTCTAAGTTTTCTTCCAACAATATTCCTCTCATTTCTCCTGGCTTCTCCCCACAGTCCGTATCCGAGTCCAAGCCTCCTCCAGGTTTCACTTTCGCTTTCAATCTCCTAGCTTCCCCGCCATAGTCCGCATCCGAGTCTATGAAAGCTTTCACTTTCGCTTTCAATCCTAACTTCTTTCCCACAGTCCATATCCGAGTCTATGCCTAGGCTTTCAATAGCTTCTTCCGGCACCTAGGCTCTTTGCTAGTCTCTCTCTCCGGTATTTTCCACTTCTTCCCGTTTCTTCCCTCTTAGGTTTCCTATCCGTTCCAGGTATCCTATCCGAGCTAGGTTTCCTATCCGAGTCACGGCACCATTATGTCGCTCCCCCTCTTCGTGGAGGAACGACACAAGACCCTGCGCTGTTCTTTCGTCTGCTCGGCCCTCCCCGGGTTTGCTGCTGGTTCTTCCCGGGTTGGCTACTATCCCTTCCACCTCCGTGGAAGGGCAGTTCCCCCTGGCCACATTCCCCACTTCCGCAGGGGAGCGGCACACCGCCGGCCGGCTCTTCTCGGGGGCTGCACAGGTGTTCCTTCAGCTAGATGTTCCCCATAGATGTTCCTGGTGCATGCCGTCTCTCTCCTCCTTTATAGTCCTCCTCCGCCAATCCCAACTCGGCTGCCCACACGCCGAGTACGCTGCTCTCCAATCAGGAGCAAGTCCTACAGTTTATTGGTTGAACTGGAGGCAGCTGTGCGGAAGCTGTTTTCTCCTCTCCCAGCGCCATATTGTAGGAGAGCAGATGCATAGAATAAGTCTTAATTCCAGTAACTTAGTCTAGTCCGAGCTGCTCCCCACAGAGGAGAGCAGATGCATAGAATAAGTCCTAATTCGAGTAACTTAGTCTAGTCCGGATTGCTCCCCACAGGAATAATCAGAGCAGCACTTGTTAACAAGAGCCAAAAGGTGGAAATAACCCAAATATCCATCACTGGATAAATGGAGAAACAGATCATGGTATATATGAGGGTACTTCCAAAGGTTTGTACCACATGCCCATCAGGATAAAACTATGCATGGATTTCAAAGTTTTTGTTTTTGTTTTTGTTTTTTTTTTTTTTTTTTGCATCAAATAAACTTACCTTTTCATTCCATTTATCATGAACTTTTTGCAGTGTGCTCTTCCATACAATGGCATATTATTCAGCCATAAAAAGAGCTAAGTCTTAATTCATGCTAGGGCCTGGATGAACCTTGCAAATATTAGGCTAAGGAGCCAGAAGCAAAAGAGCACATATGGTTTAATTCCACTTATATGAAGTATCCGAAAATATGAACCTATACATCCAGGAAAATACTTGTTGCCAAGGGCTGAGAAAAGAGGGAGGTAGTGACAATTTAATGGGTGTCAGGTTTCCTTTTGGGGGTAACAGAAACGTTTCAGAACTACACAGAGGCGGTGGTTACTTAACATAATGAATGTAAAAATGTCACTGAATTGTTCCCTTTGAAGTGGTTCATTTCATGTGATATGAATTTCACCTCAGTAAAAACAAAAACAAAAAAACAGCTCCTTCTGCCCTTTTGGGGGTTTGGAATCTTCCTCACGGAGCCAGGGCCAGAGGAACACCCAGCCAAGCATCCTGGGGGGAGGGGCGGGAAGGGTGCCATGTCCGACCGCCCTTGGATCTGTTGTGCGTTCATCTGCACACGCATCAGTTCCCACTGAGCCAGCTCCTGGGCTTCGGGGGCACAGTCCCGGCCCTAGGGGAGCGCACAGCCCAGGGGGAGGCACAGCCCACAAATTAAAAACAACAAAAGTCTGTGGTGAACTCATTAATGAGGCGCTGGCTGTTCCAAGCATCACAGAGTCCCCAAAGAACAGGGCCTGTGTCCCTGCTGCCAAGTCCCTTGTGACAAACGCATTCTTTTGTTGTTTCGGGAAACTCGGTTTCTCAGGGCCCTTCGGGGGCTCTACGGCAAAACTGGGAAAAGGGAACGAAATCAGATGGAGGATGTCACACGGAGGACGGGCACTCTGCCATTTCTACCCGCTCCTCTGGGTGGGCGGCGGACACCCCGCGCCCCGCCCAGCCCCCCAGGGAGGCCGGCGGCCGCGGCTGGGGGAGGTGGGGACTGCGCGGGGCCGCGCTCCCGCCCTCCTCGGCGCCGACCGACCGGCAGGCGGCTGGCGGCCCGCGAGGGGGCGGCGGCGCCTGGGCTTTGTGGCCGCGGCGCGCGCGGCGGGGCCTGGCCGGCCGGGGGCGCGCCACCACCGCCGCCGCCGCCGCCCGGCGCTCCGGAGCCCGCGGCCCTCCCGGCCGCCCTGCCCGAGAGAGGAGCGGAGGCCGCCCGCGCTCGCGCCTCGCCGGCCCCTCCCCCGGTCGTCGCGGCCGCCGCGCCGCCGCTGCAGGTAGGAGGCTCCGGCGGCTGGCGGGCCGCGGCTGGGCGGGGGCGCGGTGGGGGACGCGGGCCGGGCGTGCGTGGGCCGCGGGCCGGCGGAGCGGTCTTCCGGGCCAGGCCGCCGCGACCCCCGCTCTGGAGGCCGGGCGCGGGCCGGCCGGTCTCGCGCGCCGCTGTGGGACCGGGAGAGCGCGGCCGGCCTGCTGCGTACAAAGCCCCAGGGCGCAGGCCTCCGGAGACTCAGGGACGCTGCCCGGGCGGGGAGATCGGGACCCTGGGGCCGGGGGAGCCGCTTGGGAGGATTCCAGGTGATCCGCGGCCCCGCGGTCTCCCATCCCGGGGTCCTCCACTGTGTGCGGGGCACCTTGTGCTGGGCGCTTTTTCATACTTGTCTCCATTAAGACCCCTGAGCTTCGTCCCAGGTCGTAATGGGAGGGGGCCTTCCCTGGGAGGCAAAGGTTAGAGCATCCCATCCCCTGACCTTGGGAAAGCTTACTCGGAGCCTGGGCTGCTGTTTGCGTAAATGGAGGCGAGTTGGGGCGGGCGGGGGGGGGGGCGTGATGTAGTAGCTACTCCCAGGTCCTATTGTGAAAGATAATATATGTAAATGATAATAGCTAAATTTTGAGTACTTTCTATGCACCGGGTTCTGGGTACTCAATGGGGATGTCAGTTATCATTGCCAATCCTGCACTGGTGCTGTAGGAGATAGCTACTGTAAATTGCGTGAATAATCTTTCCTTCGGAGTAGGAAGCAGTGAAGAACAGTAGTGTCCGCCCCGGAATTCGGGAGGTTGTGTGTTTCTTAGACATGGTAATGTTTAAGGTGACGCATGTTCCTGCCGGGTTTGGGAGAGCCGGTTGTGGGGAGCTGCAATAGATTTGTCACACATTGAGAACTGGAGGTAGGATCCTGTGGGGGCCAAGGAGTGTGTGTTCACTGTGTTAGGAAGGATGGTTGTGTTACCAAGGGAATGTCCAATAGGGGTTCCGGAACAGAACTCCTGAGTTGGGATGGAGGACTGCCATGAGAGTTTGGGGGTAGGGTGGGGGAGGGGAAATAGTCTAAGGCCGTTGAGGAAGGGAGTGGGGGCAGCTGTCTGAACTAGGATCCCACCCTGCCCCTAGAGGCCAAAGGGAGCCCACTGCCAGGCAACCCCGAGAGCATTCAGAAGGGAGGGGTTGGAGCCTGGAAATTGGGTTTCTCAAAATGTCCTTATATTTTCTCGGGCTGCACCTGCAGTTCTTTTCAGGCAATGGGCATGCTCACCAGCCCCAAAGGTGAACTTTTCAAATACAGAGGCTTGACTGATGTGGTGGAGGAGTGTGTGTTCAACGCCGCTCACCGGGTTAGAGAAGCAATGAGTTGAGGAGATTGTTCTGGGGTTCAGTTTGGCTTGAGACAACTGGAAGGCTTTGAACTCTGAAGAAGGAGAGGCTCAGGTACTGTACCAGCGAGGAGTGCAGTGTAAGTCACTGGCACATCGCTGTGCGGTCTGCAGAAAACCCAGCAAATGTTCAGTTCTCAGCGACCAGGGACGCACCTGATCTGTGAGGCTCTCTGCATGATGTGGAAGGTCAGGGAAGGGACTTGGCCTCACCTGGATCGAGAATGAGTAGGAAAGTCTTCTGGGAGAAGAGGTTTGGTTTTGCCTTTAACATGGCCTTGAAGGAGAGGGTGGGGTGGTGAAGACAGGCAGTGCCACACACAGTGAAAAGGGACTTGCTTTGTAGAGATAGAGGGTTGAGGGTTCGAATCCTAGCCCTTCTGTTCCTTAGCTTTGTAATTTTCTGATGAGGATGAGAATTTTTTTGTTTTTCAAATACCTCCCAGGGAGCCCAACAAGCACCCCCTCATACTGTGTTCCCATCTGTGAGACGTTCATTCAGTGAAGGTCTGCTGAGCACCAGCCGTGTGCTGAGTCATATGCTACATGCCGGGCACAGAGATGAGTCAGAAATTATGCATTCTCTTAGGAATTTCCCAGGCCAGTGAGAGACAGACACGAAGAGCAAATTACAAAAAATATGGGAAGTGCGACAGAACTAGAGGCATATGCAACTGGCTACAGCTCATAGAATAGTAAGTCATTCTAAACAGAGACTGAGAGCTACCAAGATGCATCTGAGACCTTATGACAAAGATTTTGAATGCTCCATTACCCCCCAGCTTTTACATCTTTTACCCTGTCTTGTCTTTGCCCTGATATTCTTTCTTAACAACAACAAAACTGCTTGCAATTATGTATACAATTTTTAAGCTGTTTCAAACCCACTTTAGAAGAAAGTAGTTATAAATAAACACAACAGCCTGGGTGTTAATGGAGGAAGGCATCACAAAAATTGTGTGGGAGTTATTTCTTAGAGGATGAAGATGGGCCTTCGGTAGACCTTGGGTTAAGGATTGCAGCCAGAGGAAGCCTGGTGTGCACAGGGAAATGAGAACACAGCAGATTCAAGGGAGTGAGAGTGTGTTTGGTCTGGTTAGGCTGAAAAATACATGGAGATGGTGGGATAGAGAGGGTGCTGTAATTGGGGCCAGACTCAGAAAGGCCCTGAGTACCTCTGGAGGGGTTTGGACCTCACGTGTCACTCAAGCAGTGGACAGGACATCAAGGCACGCCTTCAGAGGTGTGGGTGCAGGGCTGTGGTATGATCACTGGAAGAGGGCCTGCAAATTGGGGAAACCAGTTTTGAAGGTTAGAGTCTGACCTCTGACGTGGGCAATGAGAATGGGAAGGGAGGGAATGGATATGCAGGTGAAATATGTAATAGGTGTGATTAACCTGTTGGGTGTGCCCAAGAGCACAGTGAGGTTTCTACTCTGGCAAGTCAAGTTGGTGTGGCCGAAGTCATCAGAAGTCGGGAGATTTGGGGTGGGGGAGTACTAAGTTTGGCTTTGAAGAAATGGAGGTGTGTGAAGGGCCCATCACAGACCGCTGAATGGAGTGGTTGCTAGATGTCTGGACAGAGTGGTTCTCCCTGACATCCATGCTTTCCTTTGAACAGACACTTACTGAGCATCTGCTGTGTGCTGAAGATACAGATAAAATGTCATTCCAAGCCTCAGGAGCTCACCCTCAGTTACGGGAGACCCTCGAGGATGCCGATAGGTCGCGGTGCAGAGTAACTCTCAGAGGGCCGCAGTAAGAGGTAAACACTCGGTGCCCTTGACCCGGAGGAGGTTTTAGAGGCCGTGGGAGGAGAGTGGTCTGCCTAGACCGGGAGCAGGCTGCAGAGGGGACGACTACGGAGGGGCAGCTTCTGTATTTCCGAAATGCCTTCTGTGGAAGGTACTTTAACAGAGACTCCAAAGGGAAGCCCTTGGGCAGGGGCTGGTTTCAGATGGAGCTGGGGAGGAGGTGAAGGAAGGGGTCAGGACTTTAAAAAACCCTCATCTCGTTTATAGAGGGGCCCATGAGGGTGGGAGGACGGGGGAGGGGGTAGCAGGGGGCCGTGCCTTCAACACAAGGCTGCTTCTGCTCACAGTCACACTCAGACACAGATGGTAAAAATAAACACTTCCAAGGGACAAGGCTGCTGAGAGGGAGCAGGGGGGTGGGTTTCAGCACTAGGTTTAAGGCTCAGAAATGCTCTAAGGGAAAGAAGGAAGGCGGGAGGTGAGTGGTCATCTGGGTAGGCAGATCTGGACCTGTAAGCGTGGCGTCTGAGAACTCCTACCTCTGGATGAAGTCCTGAAGGCATCACAGAAGGCTCTCGAACCAGAGGTGTTTCTCCTTGCTTTTGCACAGTACTGGTATTTACAAGAAGCAGCTAGGAAATGATTCTTTCTAATGGTTAAATCCTTTATAAGAGAAGACATTTTAAATAGTGGAACATGCAGCTGCAATTAGTAGAAAAAAACAGAAACACAAATGGCAAGTAGGTTGGTTTCAACACGCATTCCTTAAATATTTATCAAGTGCCTACTGTGTGCCAGGCAGCCTTCAAGTAGCTGCAGTGAACAGGAGCCTGGATCGCCTGCTTCAGTCATCGTCACCTGCAATTACTTGCCTGCCAGCGTCCGACCTGACTGTGGGCCTTGAAACAGCAAGACTGTGTAAAGTGCTGAGATCATCTTGTTCTGTTGCAGTGTTCTCTTTCATTGGCCAGTGGCTCCACTAGCCTCATAAATAATCATGTAGGTGTCTTTGGCAGTGAACTGTGGAAATGAGGTTGCAGGAAAACCACTTTGACAGTAGTGCAAATGCAGATTGCCAGCACTGCATGGGACTTCAGAGAGCACCACTTCAGCTCTGCTTGACAGATGAGGAATGTACTGGCAGGGAAGAAAGAGGACTGCCTAGTCTTGCCTGGTGTCACAAAATGAGTGACAGAGTTGAGAGCATGCCTTTTTTTTTTTTTTTTTAGATTTATTTATTTTATTTGAAAGGCAGAGTTGCAGAGACAGAGGAAAAAATACACAGAGAGAGTCTTCCATCTACTGCTTCACTCCCCAAATAGCCACAACCGCTGCAGTTGGGCCAGACCAAAGCCAGGAGCTTCTTCCTGGTCTCCCATGCAGGTGCAGGAGCCCCAACACCTGGGCCATCCTCTGCTGCTTTCCTAGGCTCCATACTGGGGATCTGGGTCAGAAGTAGAGCAGCTAGGACTCGAACCGGGATCCATATGGGATGTCAGTGCTACAGACGGTGGCTTTACCTGCTGTGCCACAGCACGAGCCCCTGAGAGCAATGCTTTTGAGTGTGCAGGTGGCTGATGGGGAAGGCTTGAGGGTACCTTGCAATAGGGGAACGAAGATTCCAGAAGAGGAGCTGTGGGTGCAGGGGTGTAGAGCAAAGCATGAAGCTTCCATTTGAGACCAACCTCTGTCACTAGGGTTGCAGCAAGCACCACATTTTGCCCTGAGACTCAGTTTCCTCTTCTGTAAAGTGAGAGGTAGGACTGAAGTCCTTCATTAAACATGCCAGGGTCTGCATGGCTTCAAAGAAATGTGTGTGTGTGTGTGTTTTTTTTTTTTTTTTTTTGAGGTGTTGACTGAGGAGACAGCGTTGCCAGACCCAGATAGGAAACAGCCGTTATCTCTTTAGCACAAGCTGCCCACCCCAAGTTTTTGGCAGGCCTCCCCAGGGGGGGAAATGGGTGCCACTTTCCTCAGCTCACCCCCCACTTCTGTGTCATTTTCTAGGTCTTTTCCAAGCTGTGGCCTGCTTTGTTGTAACGCAAGTTCTAATTCCAGTCTGTTCTTATACGGAGGAAGGTTTCTATTCCAGACACAATACTGGAGTAGTGTCCCTGGGCGCAGCTCTGTCACCGTGCTTGTCACAGTCTTATGATCAGCCTGTGTCCCAGTCACTGTGTGGCCTTGTGTCCTCATGTGGCTGGGGACTCCGCGGAGTGGGATCCTCTGCATCTTCAGCAGTACTGTTCTCTCTGATGCCCGCCAGGGTAGGTGCTGGTTAGTGCCTGCGTTCCCCATTGCTGGTGCTTCCTCGGATTCTGACCCCAATGTAGACACCCACGTGCATGTCTTGGTCATTTCTTCCTTTGAAACAGTCTTGAGTGTGTCCCTTCTCACTACTGTTTTTGTAGTCCTCCTGAGTCCAGGCCTCTCTTCAGTCATTTTTCTGAGTGCTGTCCTTCAGCTCTCTCCATTCGCATCCTATGTGGTTGTGTTTTTTTTTTTTTTTTTTTTTTTTTAAATATTTATTTTGTATATTTGAAAGGCAGAGTCACAGAGAGAGGAGAGACAGAGAGGTCTTCCATCTTCTGGTTAACAACCCAAGAGCCACAATGGACAGGACTGGGCCAGGCTGAAGCAAAGAGATAGAGTTTCTTCCAGGTCTCCCACTTGGGTGCAGGGGTGCCCTCCGCTACTCTCCCAGGCGCATTAGCAGGGAGCCCTTGGGACTTGAACTGGCGTCCATTTTGGATGCTGGTGCTGCAGGTAGCGGCTTCACCTGCTGTGCCATAGGACTGGCCCTGTATCCTATGCATTCTTGAAGATCTAGCTCAAATCTCCTCTTTTTTGTGAGGAAGGCAGATTCACCTCTTCCCTGAACACACACAGGGCTGTGATCTCTCAGTGTGCTTCCCGTGTCACTTGTCAGTTTACGTGTGTCAGTGCTCTTTCCAGCTGTGAGGTTCAGCTCGCATTCTCTAACAGTGCTGAGCCTTTGGCAGGAGTTCATTGCGTGCTTGTTGACTTGTGTATGTATGAGCTGAAATTCCCTTAAGCGTAGACTTGTTTTTTTGTAGGGGCCGCTATTCACTTCTGGATGTGGTTTCCTGTGGGTGGGGGGGGTAGAAGGAGCTGCCGTGTCTGAAGCCCTAATCCAGGCTGCTGCTTCACTCACCGTGCAGCACTGCTGTGCAGAGGGAACAAGGCAGGTTCAGGGGCACTAGCGCCCATGGACAGATGGAGCCATATGGACTACACGGCTCAGTGGGTGCCACAGGTAGGGTGTACGTTCAGGTGTCAGGACATTTGAGTAGCAGTTCATTAGTGTCGTGACTCCTGTCCCAGGTCTCCGTGCTACAGCTCTTTTATGCTCAATCTGAGTATTAACTTCAAAGAACTCCCTTTTCCCCAAAAGGCAGTGAAGTGAAATCGTGCCAGGCTTAGTCTCATTGTTGGTGGACTTCAAGATCGTTAAGTCACAGGTTAGGTGGCTTGAACAATAGAAAGTTATTTCTCGTAGTTCTGGAGACTGGTAAGTCCAAGGTGAGGACAAGGACTGTTTCGTTCTGAGGCCCTTTCTCTTGGCTTGTAGGTAGCTACTGTCTCTCAGCATACTCATAGGACCTATTTAGGACCTTTTTTTTTTTTTTTTAAGATTTATTTCTTACTTGAGAGGCAGAATTACAGAAGGAGAGAGGGAGAGAGAGAAGTCTCACCCACTGGTTCACTCCCCAAATGGCTGCAACAGCTGGAGCTGAGCTGATCCGAAGCCAGGAACCAGGAGCTTCTTCTGGGTCTCCCATGTGGATGCAGGGGCCTGAGCACTTGGGCCATTCTCTACTGCCTTTCCAAGCCACCAGCAGGGAACTGAATTGGAAGAGGAGCAGCTGGGATTCGAACTGGCATATGTATGGGATGCTGGCGCCGCAGGTGGATGCTTAACCTGCTGCACCACAGCGCCAGCACCACAGGGCCTCTTTTTGTGCATGTGGAGAGGGCGAGCAAGTGCCCTGATGTCTCTTCTCATGAAGGCATAAGACCAGGGCTCCATACTTATGACCTCATTCAACCTTAGACGCCTAATCCCCAAATACAGCCACTCTGGGGGTTAGGCCTTCAGCATTTGAATCTGGGGAGGACACAGAGATTCAGTTTATAAACAGATGGGTGTTGGTTTTAGGTGGATATTAAATGTACTTATCACAGTCTTTGGTGGTTTAAACAATGTCAGTGTTTTGGGAGTTATGCTAATCATTTTCTCTGTTCTTTGATGGTATTAGAATTCTGCTCTGTTATGTAGACCTATCTATGGGTCTTTGCCAAGCCCTAGGGGAACGTCCATTGCATTTGGGTTTTGCTATTTTAGCTTTACTGTGGTTTTTTCATGACTTCATTGTTTTGTTGAATGTGCTGTTCTAAACATGGTAGCCAGTTTTACCCCTACATAGAAAAAATGTGTGTATTCTTTCAGCGTCTACTGGGGGCCTACTTTGTGAGGGTCTTTGGGTCGCTTGTTGGACCACAACCACACATAGAATGTGTGTAGCACACTGCCTGGCAGAACAGTAAGCCTAAATTTGAGAGCTAAGGAGTGGAGATGGGGGAGAGAAGGCCAGTCCATCCCTGCTACCCGCTGGTGCAGCAGGGAAGGCTTGTCACCTAGCCCCCATTGTGGGTATTGCTGAATGGTGTTCAGCTAGAACGTGCCCTCTGGCCTCCAGGTGTCTTAATAAGCATTGTCTGGGAGAGCTTTTCCTTTGGTGAGTGTAGGTTTACCAAGTCTTGATGGTCAGGTGTTCAAACACATCGCCAGCATTGCCGTGCAGTGTGGACCAGTTAAGCTCCCTGTGCCCTGTGCAGCTCCTCTCCGAGCATTCATTCCGAGCAGATCAACAACAGAACTTACTTCAGGGCTCTGATTTGGGTGAGGGAGGCACACCTTTTGGAGAGCTATGGGCTGTAGGTTTGAAGAGGGAGGTCATGGAAGTCATGGGGAGAGCTGAGGAAGGGC